TTTGTATTTTCCAGTTACAACTGAATTATATTATTGTGTGAATTTTTAATTAATTAAATTAATCTAATGGTTGAAGTTTTGAACTTTGTTTTATTTTTGCCTCTGTTATAACAAAAATAATGTTTGTGGAAATGTTTTATTTAAAATTTTTTATTATTTTAATCTGAGATGGAAATAAAATATTATTTGTTTTCAGATGATTCTGTATCTGCAGACATTAAATTAGAAGCTGAAAGTGAAAATGGTTCTGTAGAAGATATTCCATCACATATTGGACCAAATACATATCATCCAAAACATGCTCTGAAAATATCTATTAATGAGTGGCTACCAGAATTTTATCGCACTAAAAATGCTTATGGGCAGGTAATACCAGCTCCATTTGTTCCAGCTCCAATTCCTGCTTGCCCTCCTCCAATGTTAAACAGTGTACTTTCCATTGCAATGGCTCCTCCTGGAACTCAACCAATTTTACCAGGAGGTATGCCACCAAATGCTCTTGCACCAGACAATTCTACTTTCCAGCCATTAAGTAATGAATTAGTAAATTCTCTTATAGCACCAAGACCAGTTCCAGAAGTCAAAGAGGATGCTATTTTAGAACCAATGGACTGTAATCCCTCCCCAAGTACATCACCTAAACATAATGATTCTCGTATGGATCAACCAGTTAGTCTTGATGGTGAACCAAAAGACATTTCTAATAATGAAGAACAACAAAATGGTGGCTTAGAAAGTATTGATACTGCTGAAGAAATGCAGACTGAAGCAGTTGATAATGCAAACCCAAATGATGAAGATGATAGACAATTGACATCTGAAGATATAGCTTTACTTGTTGATCTTTTTTATTTGCCTTTTGAACATGGAAGACAAGGTGTACAATTTTTACAAGAATTTTTTTGGTTAAAAACACATGGTCACACTGTGTCTGAAAATAGGAGGAAAACTAAAGCAGAAATGCAAAATCCAGAAGTAGAAGAGTGGTACAGCAGAGCCAGTAAATTTGATCAGATGACACAAACTGTTGGAAAGTTACTAATTCGTCTAACATATTGTCAGAATCGTTCTTTGCTATATGATTTATATCCATATATCTGGGATATCAAAGGTGTTATATCTTTGCTTAACTCCTATGTAAAGTGGACAGGTAAGCATTTTATATAATTTAATGATGAATTTTATGATTAAGTTTTTGATGCTACTGTGATTTCCTACAAGCAGTTTGAGACAATATTGGTTTAATTAATTTTATTTCAGTTTAATAAAACTAACATCCCATTTCCTTGCCTACTATTTAAATTGCAAATTATAAAACGAAGTAATTTGGGAAAAGGTGTTAAAAAGTTTTTAAGTACATTTTTGTTAAATATTATCATTACTATCAAACCAAAAAATAACTTCAAACAATATTATGTAGTTAAATTAAGAATAATGAAGAAGTGATATTTATAATTTCATTTATATATTTTGTATATATATTTTGTAATTTTATATTTTGACCATTTTTAGTTATTAGCAGTGAATATAATTTTTATATTTTAAGCAAAATGTACTGTACATACTGGGAGATCAAATGAAACTGTTACTTGCAAGGAGTTTTAAATGTTTGATAAATAAATATTTCTTGCAACATATAGCAAAACAATAAAAAGTATGGTTAGTTCAGTGTTACCAAGCCTACTCCTTAGAAGTAAATCGTTTTTCCTCCTGATCATCTGGTATTAATATCAATCTGTTTTTGTTTAATTAAATATTAAATTATATGATGTTGTTATCTTAATTATATAATGTAAAAATTTATACAGATATATTGTATGAAGATGACACATTATAATTTACATGAGGATAAAATGTAAAATTATGTTAATAAATATTTTCATGGAAAAAATAGAAATTTTCATAGCTTATGCTATAAAGTGAATGGTTTGCTGTTTTTATTTAGAAGTGAGTGGTATTAGAGTTAATCAAATGATCATATTATAATATCAATTTAAAATTGCGAGTTTTGTAAACAGAATTTGATAGTTAGGCACTTCCTGTCAGAAGAGTTTAATTCTGTTGCAGTGTACATGTTTCTGGAGAATTGTATAGTATATATAAAGATGTAACAGTAAAGTATTTCATTAGTTGTGAAATAAAGTTCATTAGTTGTGAAATAGATCTTGAATCACAGTAATAAAAAATGCCTAGATTTAAGAGACTGAAAATAATTATATTACAACTAACAGATAAAACAATGCAACCACAGTGAAAATCTATAAAGGCATTATTAATCATTAGAAATATACCAACATTAAACAGTAATTTTTGTTTTATAACAAAAAAAAAGAATTTCAGTTGTTTTTGTGTTAAAAACAATTAATTTTAAAGATTTTTATCTAAAATCTTTCTGCAATAAAAAATATTTATTGGTCTTTTATGAATAAATGTTGCTTGGTAATTTAATTAGACAATGTTTATTATAATTAAACATTAATTAAAAATGCCAGGACAAAAAATTCTAATATATAGAAGTACCACGTAAATATCTTCTTTCATAACGTCTTTTACATATTTCAGGAACAAACAGTCATTATGGCAGAGTCAACCTTCCTTTATAAAACTTTTTCCATCTCCAGTATATGGTAGTTGGCCCTTCTATGAATTAGAATTTTGTAATGTATCAATTTTTCATGCTGGCATTTTTAATTAATTGTGTTTAATGTTTAATTGTCAATTAATTTTATATGATTGTGCCAAAACTTGGGAATATTTTACTACCATTTTTACATATTCAGGCAGAGAAAGTAGCCTATAAAGGAAGGTTGACTCCACTGTAAAGACTATTCATGAAGTGTGTAAAGGATGTTACTAAAGAAAGAAGACACTTATGTTGTACTTCTATGTATTAGAATTTTATAATGTAATGTTTATTATGTAAACTAGTCTGAAATATTTTGAAGAAATTTATCATTTGATAACAAAATGATAAAATTAATTAAATGTAAATATTTTTAAACAATATGAATATGATTAACTAATTGTTACAACTATAATGCTATAATTTCTAATAATTAAAAATTCTGTGCTGTTGAATTTATTCATTTTGATTTTTGACTTCATTTAATAAAAAAAAACATAATTAATTAGCCTGATTAAAATATCAGGCTAATTAATTAACAACTTTATTTAGTGTTTTTATGCTAAGTAATTTTAAGAGAAAATGCAAAAGCTTGAAATAATTTCACGTTAGTATATTGAATAGAAATTATTGTAATTTTTTTTCATAAAATTTGCTGTTTGGAATATGAGTTTTTAATAATTTTTATTTCTTACAGAAATGAATTGCTATTGATATTAAATAGAAAGAACAAGATCACAATTTCATAAAATATAATTTTTATAACAGTGTATGACTTGAATAATTTCCTTTTTTTACTTATATAACAATAAAGTCGAAAAGCTGAATAGAAATTATTAATAAATGTGAGCACTTTTGTCCAATTTAATTGAACTTCTTCAAACATAAAAATAAACATGAAACATTAGTGGAATAGAACATTAGTAGTAATCATAGTAACCAATAGATCTCCTTATTTATTGATTTGTCTCTTGGCATTTGCATTTTGAATTTGCTTTCCTTAACCACTCTGTTCAACACTGTAGTTCAATGTTCATCAATTTTCAACCAGTAGTTGAACCTTTCTGATACATGTTGAACTCAGTTTTATTCAGGTTTTGAATTTCTGCTTTCTTTTGGTAATTGACAACCTAAAATTTGGAATGTTTTTTCTGTATGTATGGATGTTAGTGTGTGTGTGGGTGGCACAATTTTGTTCACACCACACATTTTCTGTTGATCAGTTCTGGTCTTTTCTGTTTGATGGTATCACACAATTTGTCCATTTGATGGCAATACACTTTTGAATCAATTGTGGAATTGTTTGGTAAAAGCTCAAAAAAAAATCCCTTAAGATCCTACCAAAGAGAGCATATCTTTCTTTAAGAACTTGTGGAACCCATATATCAAGCTTTGAAATGAAACCAAGTTGTTTCAAGTGATCATAAATGGTTCACTTCAACAAATTTAGTCTCTAGCAATTTCTCATATTGTTTTTCAGTGGTTTGCTTCAATAAATACCTTTATTTTGTCTTCGTCAGCTTCAACTGGCCTTCCAGAATGTGGTTCATCTGCAATATCGAAATTGCCAAAATGAAATTTTGTTAATCAGTTTTGGCACTGTTGTTCTGTCAACAAATCTTTTCCATACATGTATGTCACACAATTTTTTCTTGATTGAACAGCATTTTTATATTTTTGGTAATAATAAAGCAAAATATGCTGAAAATGCTGCTTTCAATTTTCCATATTTGATGGGACACCAAAAAAAAAAAAACAATTGCACAGAATAAAACAAAATTCTTTACAAATAAGCCTTGAAATGTCAGCTGTCAAAATATATAATGACAATATGGTTTAAAATGGAATTGGTGGGTAAAAATACAACAAATTTTTCTGGTGGTAAAAAAACAAAATTACTTTCTGAACAACCCAATATTATGTTTCAATGAAAACAAGAAATTAGAGTTACTCCAATAAAGCATAAACATTTAAAATCCAGATGGTTTTGAACCCTGCTGATCCACCTTCCAGAATAGTAGTTCAAAAACAAAAAAATTATGCATTTCAAGAAAAATTCCAAATAGTTAATCTAACATCAGAAATTCCAAATAAAACTTTAGAAGAATTCACACTCCTGAAGATAAGCCAGATACGCTTGAAATTATTTGGTTCTTTCAAATGAAACGGAGATTATAATGGCAACATTGATTTATATTGAGGGAGAGTAGGGTGCCACTGTACAGGTGGAGGGAACATACCTCTGAACGAATGAGAAAAGTGTTCAGTGTCTGTAAATCCTTACATGTACTGTACAATAAATTACATGTGTTGGATGTTTGAGTCTGTTTCACTTGAAGGAGCCAAATACTTTGGTTTTAAGTAACCACTAAAAATAAAAATTATTTTCAGTTAAAAACAAGTATTTACTTCCGACTTCGAGGACAATACAAGTAAAAAAAAAAAAACAACTGATGAGAAACAAACTAAACTTCCGTTATTACCAACGCTTTTATTCCATAAATGATATACTTCGCTTTCTAGTAGGCCTCATCAGTGGATACATCAAGTTAGTAATCGCTGTTCTTGTTTATATCACGCAACTTTTCCCAGCATGCATCAACATTCATCCCAGTATTTAAATTAAATACTGTACATTTGCATACGTGGTGATGCAAAAATGTTCAACAATTTTTCTTTCAATACAATTTTCTATTTTATATAATATTTTAGTATTTTTTCTTATTTATATTACAATTAAATTCACTACAGTGCAAAAACTACACCGATTCCATCTTTCTTAATCTGATAGCCGCCTCATGTTCCTTTATCCTCAACTCCAGCCTTCTTCCAGTATGGAGTATATCATTTATAGAATAAAAGCATTGGTAATAATGAAAGTTTAGTTTGTTTCTCGTTGTTTGTTTGTTTGTTTTTTGTTTTTACTTGTATTGTCCTCGAAGTTGGAAGTAGATCGAGTATTTTTTACTTGTTTTTAACTGAAAATAATTTTTATTTTTAGTGGTTATTGAATATACCAATACCATTGGTTTTAAGTGTTTGGATAATTGATTCTACTAAAGGTGTAATTTCTTGTTACTTTTAAACTATAATCAAAATTTAGAGTTATTTTATTTTATTGATTTAGTGTTTCAACAATAAATAGAAAAGTTAAATAAATTTAAATAAAATTAACAATTAAATGAGTTTTATTACAGTAAATTTTAAATCACTGGATTCTATATTTAAATATTAGTAATTAATATAAATGATTTAAAAAATCAGAAAAACTAACATTTTTATCACTTTAGATACATTAGACCTTAATAACTATTAAAATCTCATTTTAAAATATTTATTTGCCTGTAATATGAGTTTATTACCTAAAATATATAACAAATATTAATTTTATCTTAGATAAATATTGAATTAAACTTAAAAATTGTTTAATACATTCTCATTTTTAATGGAAATCACAGGAAGCACCATCAGTGTAGTGATGAAGTGCAATCTTTTTGAAAAGTATTTGGTTTATGCTTACTGTTTAA